TACTCCCGATCCTCTTCCTCGAGCCCCGTCAAGATTTCGGGGTCAAATGTAAAATGTTTCGGGGATGCTGTTGAACTCTCTGTCGCTGTCTGAGCACTTTCTTGGATTGTCTTCGTGTCCTCTTGGCTGCCCCTGAAACCATTGTAGAAATCGAGATCGCATGATCCCATGAGTTGAAGAAGTGGAGTTTAGAAATCCTTTTGTCAAACTCACCCCCTGATGGTTTTTGCACGAATGCCAAACGGCAATTGATGGTTTCTGCGATCCCGCAGTTCCCCTTCTATACGATTCCGACGCTTGTGCAGGGCTTCCAAGGGAGTCCCTGAATGCAAGAAGCGGCAATGATGCTATTCCATGGGTTCGCCCATCAAGCCTAGCTAGAACTTGAGCGCGCGCGAAGCGCGCGCGATGGTTCTAGTATATGCATATGTGTTCATACAAACTCGCTACCACATGCATAGAAACTACAAGCGCTTGCGGAAGCGCACACGCACGCTGCACAAGAATGTACAACCACATATACATGCACCCGCACACACGCCTATGCATACATACACGGGTTCGCATACAACTATTCAGTGTTGTGTGCAAGTATATGTGCATATCTGTGCACACGTATGCACGCATCTGTGCACATTCAGAGATGTGCATTCAAACATACACGGATAACTCAGCACACACTCATGCACATTAACACATGCACGCATATGTTTGCGCGCCTGTGTGTAGGTCTTTACTCACGCTATACAGACATACGCACATACATGTGTCAATGCACACCTAAGCATGCACGCAATCATGCACTACCCACGTATGCATATGTACACGCACATGCGCATGTGCAAACGAATGCTTATGATGTCAAAGATGCGTGTACACGTATATCCGTAAGGGCTTCGCCCCCTGCCGCCGGCCCCCTCTCTATCATTATGGGATACATCAGAGCTATATTGGGATGTTCGGGCGCCGTCTTGATGACATTCGGGAACGTCATGCTAGGGCGGCTGGCGATGAGCAAAACATATTGAGATGTTGAAGTTGTTGTTGAACGCGTTGTTGCCTTTTTGGCATTTTCCTCCAGTTGTTCACTGGAAGCGCTCTGGGAACGGCTGGGGATTGCTTCAAGCAATCTCTGGGAAGGTGATTTTTCTTCTCTGGAGAAGGAGTGGCGCCTTTGGGCAGCTTCCGCGAGGTGGATTCGTAGCGTGGGGGGTCCGCGCGAATTTGGTGTAATTTGCTGGGGATCGTGGCCTCGGGGACGCGAATGTGGCGTAATTTACGAGGGATCGTGGCCTGGGGGGCGCGACAGCGGCGTAATTTTCGAGGGGTCGTTGCCCCGGTGGCGCGAATGAATTCACGCGGGATCGTGGCCTCGGGGGCGCAAATGTGGCGTACCTTACGAGGGATCGTGGCCTGGGGGGGTGAAGGTGGAACCCACCGCCGAATTTTCCAGAAACGGGGGGGGGGGGCAAAAGAACACCAGCGGAGCGCATATCCCAATATAGAAAGTTGCTGTCTTTCTGCTTTGGAGAGGGGGAGCGCCTATTCGGCAGCCTCCGCAAGGCGGGTTCGTGGCCTCGGGGGCGCGCCCGCTGCGTAATTTACGAGGGATCGTGGAGTCAGGGGTGCGAATTTGTAGTAATTTACAATGGGTCGTGGCTTCGGGGGCGCGAACATGATGTAAATTTAATGGGATCGTGGCTTCGGGGGCGCGAAGGTGGCGCAAATCACAGAAAGGATCGTGGCCTCGAGGGCGCGAATGCGCAGTAATTTACGTAGGATCGTGGCCTCGGAAGCAAATGTGGTGTAAATTAGCAGGGATCGTGGTCTCGGAGACGTGAATGCAGTGTAATTTACGCGGGATCGTGGCCTCGGGGGCGCGAATACACTGTAATTTGCAAAGGATTCTGGCATCGGGGGCACGAAACTCTTGTATTTTTACGTGTCCCACGCCCCACCCAGAATTTCTGAGAACCTTCCCGGGGGGTGCTAACCAGGGTCCTTTTCGGCTCCCCCCCTCGCGCGGACAGTAACAATTTACAGTAGGAAGCAAAAAGCGGCACTGTAACAATGGGCATTGGAAACTGGAACTGGCACAGGGAGCAGCAACCTTAACCCTCGCAGCCTGATGGCCCCGCAAGGGGGCCGGCGGACACATGTTGTTTACGTACGCAGACAAAACGAATAAGCATTCCGACATGCGTCTAAACACCTGTTCCATCACATGTGTACAACTATGCGCGCACATGCGTATGCGCGTTACAGGTTATGTATACATGTCTTCACCCATACACGCTGTTGCATCGACTTGCGCATAAACTTTAAACGCCTACGTACATCTATATACATACCCGACCTGGCGCCCCGTAGTTGCGAATAAGAGCGAGGCGGCTGACGAGCCAGCGGGTGGGTCGCGGGGTGGGTCCCCGCGTCTCTTCCTCCTCCCCTCTCCTCTCCTCTCCTCACTCCTCCTCCTCCTCCTCCACCTCCTCCTCCTCATCCTCCTCCTCCCTCCTCCCTCCTCCCTCCTCCCGTCACCACCTCACTTCGGCACACCGCTGTCACGTTTCGCGGCCCCATGAAAAAAACTCCACCGAAGGCCCCAGTGTCTGCGTTCACATGCCGCCACCCCTCCACTTTGGCACACCCCTCACACGTTTCGCGGCCCCATGAGGGGGCTCCACCGAACACCTCAGTGGCTGCGTTCACACGCCGCCACCCCTCCACGTTGGCACACCCCTCACACGTTTCGTGGCCCCATAAAGGGAGCTCCACCGAAGGCCCCAGTGGCTGCGTTCACATGCCGCCACCCCTCCACTTTGGCACACCCCTCACACTGTTCGTGGCCCCATAGGAGGCTCCACCGAAGGCCCCAGTGGCTGCGTTCACATGCCGCCACCCCTCCACTTTGGCACACCCCACACACGTTTCATGGCCCCATAGGAGGCTCCACCGAAGGCCCCAGTGGCTGCGTTCGCATGCCGCCCCCCTCCACTCTGGCCCGCCATTCACACGCTTCGTGGCCCCATAGGGAGCTCCACCGAAGGTCCAGTGGCTGCGTTCGCATGCCGCCCCCCCGCCACTACGGCACACCCCTCACCTATTTCGTGGCCCCATAGGAAGCTCCACCGATGGCCCCAGTGGCTGCGTTCGCATGCGTTCCCACCACCCAGTACAACGCTTCGTAGCTCCATAGAGGGGGGCCCGCCGAAAGCCCCAGTGGCGGTGTCCGCATGCGTTCCCCCCATCCATTACGGCGTTTCGTGGTCCCATAGGGAGCTCCACCAAAGGCCCCACTGGCGACATCCGCATGAGTGCCCCCCACCCACTACAACGTCTCCACCGAAGGTCCTAGATGTTTCCCCGTACTCCTTATAACGCTGCGTCGTCACATAGGGAGCTCCACCGAAGGCCCCAGTGGCGGTGGCCGCATGCGTCTCACCCACCCAGTTCAGCGTTTCGTGGTCCCATAGGGAGCTCCACCCAGGGACCCAGTGGCGGTGTCCGTATGCGGTCCCCCCACCCAGTACAACGTTTCGTGGCCCCACAGGGAGCTCACCTAGCGGCGGCGGCCGCATGCGTTTCCCCCACCTACAGCAACGCTTCGTGGCCCCGTAGGGAGCTCCATCGAAGGTCAGTTCGCATGCGTCTCCCCACCCAGTACAGCGCTCCGTGGCCCCACAGGGAGGTCCACCGGAGGCCCCAGTGGCAGTGTTCGCATCCGCCCCTCCCCCACCCAGTGCAACGCTTCGTGGCCCCAAAAGGAGCTCCAACGGAGGCCCCAGTGGCCGTGTTCGCATGCGCCTCCCCCAACCAGTACAGCACTCCGTGGCCCCATAGGGAGCCCCACTGGAGGCCCCACTGGCGACGTTCGCATAGCGGTTGCGCTCCATTTCGGCACACCCCTCACACGTTTGGTAGCCCATATGAAGTGCCACCGAAGGCCCCTATGGCTGCGCCCGGCGGCGGACGCCCCCCCGCCCTGGTGGGGCGGCGCCGGAGACGCCGCGAGTGCACCGGTGGCACGATGACGCTCGATAGCGCTGGAGCAATGTGCTGCCTGGCTCGTTCGCAGGCCGGCCACACTTGGGGGAGCTGTGGTCCTTACCCCCCCGGGGGGACCCATCGATTTCGACACCCCTCTCGAGAGATCGTCGAGGCGATGGGTTCCCCCAGGGAGGTAAGGACCACAGCTCCCCCAGTTATGGCTAGCCGGCCTCGCCGAGGCTTACGCCAAGCCCCTCTTCCTAGCTCCTTCAGTCGGACGTGGTCCGCCTCAGCCTTGGCCTTTTCCAGCGCTGCGCTCTCTCAGCACGGTGTGCTTTCAGTGCACGCTCTCTGCGGGGACACCCCGTCGTCTGTCGGGGTTGCGAGAGGTGCCCCTGGCCCGAGGTGCCCCAACGTTTCGGTCCACTTTGTAGCCCCTTGGGGCCTTCTGGGCCTCGTGAGGTGTGCTCTGGAGGCCGTGGGGGCCTCCGTGGAAATCCTGGGGGCACCTTGGGCCAAGGGCACTTGTAGCCACACCCGTCGTCTGAGTCTGAATCTGAGCTCCGAACCCGAAACATTGCGCGGTGATCCGAAAGTTTACGTGCATGTCCTCTTTTTGTCTGTTCTCATGGAAGCCTCCATTTTTCGGCACATTTCTGTGGGAGGGGAAGGTGCGAAGAGGACGCCGTTTCGATAGGTGGGCTCCGAAGACATCCGACGACCTCTGTGCACACGTAGTAGGCCACCGTGGAAAATGCCAGAGGCTAGTAATTTCAACTTCCTTAAACCTCGATCTTTTTCGAACCTCGATTCTCGAGCCTCTTCCTACTCGCTTCCGCATCCTCGATCCCCGATCCTCGATCCTCAAACCTCCCCATCGATCCCCGATCCTTGGGCCCCTGCGATCTCCCTCGAGCTCTCTCGATCCCGGATCCTCGAGCCTCCTCGATCCTCGACCCTCTGGTTAGGCGGTGGGGATCCGGGGCACGCGGGGGCCCTCGGGGCAAGCGGAGGCCGTGAAGGAGGCGGTGCAGGAGGCCCTCGCGACGGAGGCCGAGCTGCCCTGGGACGGCGCCGCCATCGCGGCGAACATGACCACGGACGCATTCGGGAGGAGGAGGGTCGAGAAGGTTCGGGTCGAGGATCGGGGATCGAGGAGGAGGATCGAGGATCGAGAACGAGGGCGAGGATCCTCTGTGGGCCCTTTCTGGGCCTCCTGGGGCGCCCTCGTGGCCACAACTGGATCCGCCTCGAGATTCTGCTCAGAGCGCACCCGAGGCCGGGAGGAGGAGGAGGAAGAGGAGGAGGAGGAGGAGGAGGAGGAGGAGGAGGAGGAAGAGGAGGAGGAGGAGGAGGACGGAAGATGGCGGAGGAGGGCGGCGGAGGGCGGAGGAGGGCGATGGAGGGTGGAGGAGGGCGGTGGGCGGAGGAGGGCGGAGGAGGGCGGAGGAGGCGGAGGAGGGCGGGGAGGAGGGGGAGGAGGGCGGAGGAGGGCGGAGGAGGGCGGAGGAGGGGCGAGGAGGGCGGAGGGAGGGCGGAGAAGGAGGAGGAGGAAGGAGGGCGGAGGAGGACGGAGGAGGGGGGGGGGGTGGGGGGGGGACGGAGGAGGACGGAGGAGGGGGAGGAGGCCGGAGGAGGAGGAGGAGGAAGGAGGAGGAGGAGGAGGAGGAGAGGAGGGGGAGGGACGGAGGAGGAGGAGGAGGAGGAGGAGGAGGAGGAGGGGGAGCAGGGGGAGCAGGGGGAGCAGGGGGAGCAGGGGGAGCAGAGGGAGACAGGCGGGAGCAGGGGGAGCAGGGGGAGCAGGAGGGAGCAGGGGAGCAGGGGGAGCAGGGGGAGCAGGGGGAGCAGGGGGAGCAGGGGGAGCAGGGGGAGCAGGGGGAGCAGGGGGAGCAGGGAAAGCAGGGGGAGCAGGGGGAGCAGGGGGAGCAGGGGGAGCAGGGGGAGCAGGGGGAGCAGGGGGAGCAGGGGAGCAGGGGGAGCAGGGGGAGCAGGGAGCAGGGAGGAGGGGGGAGGGGAGAGGGGGGAGGGCAAGTTAGGTGCGCTCGCGTCAACATCTGACATCCTACCCCTCCCTCCCATCCCTTACCATGGCGCTGATTTTCTCTATCCGCGGACGCGTGTCGTAGCGGACCTGTGGCTCCGCGCGCGTGTGCGTAGTGGGTGGTGGTGCGCGTGCGTGCGTGCGTGTGTGACTGGTTGTGGTCGTTGTGGTGGTGGTGGTGTGTATATGTGTGTGTGTGTGTGCGCGTGTGCGCGTGTGCTGTGGTGTGACGTGGTGTGGCGTCTTGGTGGTTTGGTGGTGGGCCAGGTGCGTACGTGCGTGATGGCGGTGGTGGTGGTGGTGGTGGTGGTGGTGGTGGCGGTGGTGTGTGTGTGTGCGTGTGTGCGTGTGTGCGTGTGTGCGTGTGTGCGTGTGTGCGTGTGTGCGTGTGTGCGTGGGTGCGTGGGTGCGTGGGTGCGTGGGTGCGTGCGGGTGCGTGCGCGTGCGTGCGTGTGTGTGTGTGTGTGTGTGCGTGTGTGTGTGTGTGCGTGCGTGTGTGCTGTGTGTGCGCGCGTGTGATGTGGTGTGACGCGGTGTAGCGTGGTGGTGGTGGGTGGGTAGTGCGGTGGTGGTGGCGGTGCGCGGTGGTGGTGCGCGTGCGTGCGTGCGTGCGTTGGTGGGTGGAAGTGGCGGTGGGTGTGCGTGCGGCGGGGCGGGGCGTGGTGCGGCGCGGTGGTGGCGGGCGGATGGGCGCGCGAGAAAGAGGCCCGCGCTGGGGCGAGAACGCCATCCTGAACGACGGAGGCCAAACACCGATCCGAAAATGAGGCCCACGCTGCAGCGGGAGCACGATTCGGAACGATTCGGGAGCAGAAATGAGGCCGGCGCCTCAGCGAGAGCAGCATTTTGAATAAGAACGAAGGCGAAAACCCAACTCCCGGGAATCCTGTGTAAAAAGCAGTACGCGGGGGGGGGTCGAATATTCCCAGGACGCCATCAGGGGAAGAGGGAGAGTAGTATTCATATTGAGTAATTGTGGAGGAGGGGGGAGGGAGCAGGGAGCAGGGAGCAGGGAGCAGGGAGGAGGGAGGAGGGAGGAGGGAGGAGGGAGGAGGGAGGAGGGAGGAGGGAGGAGGAGGAGGAGGAGGAGGAGGAGGAGGTGGTGGGGGAGAGCTCCTCGTCATCTTTGAGCTTGGGGTCCGTCCAAGGCGCTTGGGTGCATCTGGGCCTGCATGGAAAATTCTCGCTCGCACCTTGCGAGGGCCGCGGGTCCCAGCCAGGACCACGTCATCACCCTCACGGTCGAGGAGTACCGTCGTGATGTTCGTCCTGCTGCCTTGGCCACGGCGGAGCTTCTCCACCATCTCCCTCTCGGCAGCCGTGGAAGCGAGGATGACCAGGGGGTCCGTCGCCGTCTCCAACTTCATCCTCGCCGTTGAGGGGTGAGCCAGGGTCACCGTACCCCAAGGCTCCGCCACCAGCTAGCCCCTCGTCGTGGCCGTTGTCGTCTCGCTGCTGGGCTCGCTCTGCTCGCCCGCCGCGAAGGTGCCGATGACCTCCCTCAGCTCCTGGATCACCATCTCCTGCGTGTTCTTATCTTCTTCTCGCCCGCGTAGGCCAGCAAGCTGCGCAGGCGGCCGACGATCGGGAGGTCCTGCTTCGTCGCCTTCGTCCTCTGTGGTTGCTTCACACCACTCTAGGACTGCGATACGGATGCACCACGTGTGGGCAACGTACTTCTGGAGGGCTGCGACCGCCTCCGCAAGCTGCGCCAGAGTGTGCTTCTCCGTGGAACGCCGCTTGGTTGCTCTGGCTCCTCCTTTACCCCCACCTCCGACGAGCGGGTCGTGGACATCCTGGGAGGAGAACTGCACAACATTGCAATGCGTAGATGTCGTGCCTGGAGTCGAGATCACCTCCTCAGCACCATCATGAGCAAACATGTGGGGCAGGTCGCCCTCGTGAACGCCATCGTCGAACTCAACGGAGTCGGACGGCTTGAAACACTTGATGTCTATCTCCTCCTGATCAGACCCCGTGAGCGAGAGGCAGCGCTGGACCATCCCCCTGAGCATGATGATGATGCCGACTGCGTACACGAAGATGCGCCACCGAAGAGAAACACTGAGAGCACGTGCGCAGCAAGGAGAACGTGCCCACGATCTCCCTTCGCCGTGGAGTCAAGACTCCACGCCCGCCATCGCCAGGACGGCCTCGGAGGTGCCGTCGGGGGGCTGCTGCTCGATGGCGGACAGATCAAGACCCCCTTTTCCTCCAGGACCCATCCCCTGGAGGGTCGGGCGAACCTGGGGTGCGGGTTAGGGAAAGGGGGGGAGTACGACATCTGTTGCGTGCAGCTGGTTTCGGCCCCGTCGTGGGGCGCTTTCCCGACCCGGTCGGGTTTGGTTCCGATGCAGGGCCGTTGCGGCCCGACCCGACGCACATTCCGATTCGACACCACTTGTCGATTCAGCGTTGTTTGTTCGTGTTCTCTCCCCTCTCTGCCCCGCCCTCCCTCTTCCCTTCTCCACCCGCCCTTCCTCTCCCTCCCCTCTCTTCCTTCCGGTCTCGCTCCCCCCTTCCCTCCCTCCTCTGTGTTTGAAGTTCGCGGTTCGCGGCCCTATCAACCTCGTAAGGGTTTTCGAGGAGTGGATCCTGTTATATTTTCGTTCGCCCCGATCTTTGATGCTAGGCAGGGGCGGGGCGGCCAGGAGATCTCCGAGGGCGACGGCGGTGCGCTCGCGCTGCGGACGACGATTGAGCTGCCCGCGGGCCTGGCGCAGGCGGCCCAGGATGCGCTGGACTCGTCCGCGGACTTGTGCGAGGCGCGGTCCTGATCCTCCTCCTCCTCCTCCTCCTCCTCCTCCTCCTCCTCCATCTCCTCCATCTCCTCCTCCCTCTCCTCTTCCCTCCTCCCTCCTCCCGCCCTCCTCCCTCCCCCCCTCTTCCTCCTCTTCAGTTTCCTCCTCCGCCTCCTCCCAGATGAGTAGCAAGGGCCATCGGACATCGTCCCAATGCGGACTCTGCCTTTTAACCCCCTCCGCCTCTTCCTCCTCCTCCTCCTCCGCCTCTTCCTCCTCCTCCTCCTCCTCTCCTCCTCCTCCTCCTCCTCCTCCTCCTCCTCCTCCTCCTCCTCCCTCTTCTCCTCTGATCCTCATCCACCTCCTCTCCGGCCCCCTCGGGAACATATTTCTTCCACTTACTCTCCCTGGAGTCCCATGGCCAAGCGCAGCAGACGGAGCAAGGCTTCAGCTTCAACGAGTGTCAGCTTGAGCCCCATCGCGGGGCGTGGGGCCCGCCGGGGCCCTCAGAGCCGACACATGCACACGAGACGGGGCCCTCAGGTCTGCACGCACGAAATGGGTACTGAAAGAATGGGTACAATGCCCAACAGCGGATCTTGTTCAGTTTGAACAGGGGTCGCTGTCCACGCCGCCGCGGCCTGTGTCCATTCGAGACAGGAGGCCGCCCGCCCAACAGCGGCCGCTGTTGGTTTGGGACAACATTTGCTGTTGGGCATATTACCCATTTTTTTGGTACCCATTTCGGGCGTCCAAATCAGAAGGGTCCTGGGTTCGAGGTCCGAGGGCCCTGGGCTCGACAAGATTTTTTTTTACAAAAAAAAAGGATAGATCTATGTTAAAAATAAACAAGTAAAACATATTATAGATATATTATTCGCGGGATTGTCAGAAACGGATCCGGGGTGAGAAACTGCGCCAGACGGACACCCAGGGGGGTCAGGGGTCAGGGGATTGATTTTGAGCGGATCTGCCCCTAACTGGATGAATGGCGGAGAAATCACACGAGACGACGCCCATCCAGAAACGATGCCCAGGCGAGGCGCCCAGGGGGCCTCGTCGAGCGTCTTGGGTGCCTCGGGGATCCTCTTGAGGCGCCTTGGGGGTCTCTTGCGAGCCTCTTGGAGCCTCCTGGGCGCCTCTTGGGGCCCTCCTGAGGCGCTCTTAGGAGCCTTGGGAGCGCTCTTCGGGCCATCTTGGAGGAGATCGATCAAACAACAATGGGAGCTCCGATTCGCCTCCTCCCTCGGGAGCACCAACAATCGCCTCGTGGGCCCCTCTTGGGGCGCCGTTGGAGCGCTCTTGGGCGCCCTTAGGGCCATTTTGGGGCTCTCTTGGGTCTGTGTTTAAGGCATCTTGGGCTATCTTGAGCCATCTTGGAGGTCATCTTGGACTCTCTGAGGCCCTCTCGGAGCCATCTTGGGCGAAAACGTAATTACCCTCTGACACCTCGCGGGGCGCCCCGTCCAGGTCCAGGGGAAGGCGTAAGGGGGGAGGGGTAAACCCTTCCCCGAAGGGGAAGAAGGGGGTTGGAAGAGGAACCCCCCTAGACCACCTACGCCCAGAGGG